TTTTCGACAATTTACAAGAAGCTGCTGTTCTTGTTTTTGATAATATTTATAATGACACAACGTTTTGCAAAACAGATTCCAATTTCATACCTTGTAGGGAGAGCTGTTTTTCAGCCATCTTACAAGTCGTGTCCGCATGGCTCTGCTAGTTTCAAAATAATGTGGTCCATTTTGTAACAAAACTCGCTACGGTTATGAATTTTTCATGAAAGAGCTTGCACTTAGATTCAACACTAAAGTTCGCGTTTCATTATGTCAAAATCAAATGTACAAATTTGTTCCGTCAATTCAAAATCGGCTCACCTTAGATGGCAAAAGTACCAGTATCCATTTCTGCAAGCCGTCGTCTGCGTCCGCGAACTTATAACTGCCTTGCAAGCCGGGCATCCCAAGTTCAGAGGTACTTACAATCATTCCAACTGCAATGTTCTTCACTAAAAACGAGATAATGCCTGAGAGATTGGTTAAAGCAGTGTCTGAGAGAACCATTCGGTGCTGTTATTCTTTGCACTCTTCAGCTGACAAAATAATTGATTTTCTTTCGATTCTGCAGTTCGGAAGTATTACACCCTTAGTTTGTCCGGTTTATCCACTTGACTCTGTGAAAGCTTTTATTTTAAGCTCAAACATCAGAATCCAAACACGTGAAACGATTCGAGTACAAAGTTGTGGAAAGAGAAAATTAAAATCAATAAGAGAGGTAAACGCAAACTTTACCTGAAAAAAATTCAACAAACACACCAGACTACGAATACCAAAATGAGCCATTAAGACAACAAAGACGCTTTGTCGAAGGTGGAGTTTTCGAGGTAAAGGATTTAGAAACAGCCAAAACTGCAGAGGAGACAAATATTTTAACAAAAACACCATACTGTGAATACCATAGTGAGCCATTGAGACAACACAGACGCTTTGTCGATAGTGGAGATTTTGAGAAAAAGGATTCAGAAAGAGCAGAAAAATTGATCCAATTGCTCAAAAATATTAAAAACAATATTTTACTTTTCGTGCTGTATTTTTTAGTTACCGCTTGTATAAGTTTTTCTTTTCAGCTTTAATTAAACGAGGATTCTCAACCCAGTTTTCAGAGGACATTTCATTTCAGCTTTCAAAAAATACAATCGAGCCGTCCTTTATCTCGTCTCAAATGCTGATGAGTGCGATGATAATTTCTGAACCAACTGAACCATCTCATCTCAAATACTGATGAGTGCGATGATAATTTCTGAACCAACTGAACCATCTCATCTCAAATACTGATGAGTGCGATGATAATTTCTGAACCATCTCAATTCAAATACTGATGAGTGACTTAACTGCCCCCATTTCAAACATGAATTGCCATTTCCAACCCTGAACAGCCATTTCAAACCCATTTCAAACCAAAACGAAAGATTTGATATCCGCATAGTTAACCAATGATTTAAGATGGGTTTGCGAATTCCGCTGACTAATGAATAAGTCCTTTTGCGGTCAAATTGCGCGTTCCTATAGATAATAAATCAAATACTCCAACTCTAGCTTTTAATTGTTCATATGCAAGTTCAGTAATAATCAAAAATGCGGAATCCACTTACAACTTGTGGAATCCGCTTACATTTGCGGATTCAGCATACAAAATTTGCGGATTCCACTTACATTTTGCGTAATCTACTTACAGTTGTGGAATCCAGAATAACTAGCTATGTTTGCTTGTTACGGAATCCGCAACAAAACAAATGTGCCAACAACGCTTACGTTACAAAATTTACGTATGCGAAATCCACTGAAATTTTGATTGTGGAATCCATTTACATTTTGGAACATATTTTAATACTTGTCTCTGGAATCCAGGAACATACAGACACCATATTGTGCTCCTATCCAGTGCACATTTTGGCCTCGTAATGGCTGATTTTCAAGAATTGTGATTTATTTTGTCTGGCTATTCTCATGATGAAAGAACCAAATGATAGAAAACTTTTAACTAGTGAGAATCGTTGGACATTTCCTTCGGCTAAAAGTTTTTGCACAATAACGAATTCACTGTTAACTGAAAATGATATGTAGCAGCATAGGAAAGTTTTGCTCTACGATTCATGCAGATATAAAATAAATTTTTTGTTTTGATTTCAGTTATGAAAAATTTAAAGATTTTTTCCAATAACCACCTCTGATATCACAATTTTTGGAAATTTATGCATCTGCTTCATTTTTAATTGGTAACTATTATTTTTAACTAATTGGATTTAAAATCGTTTTGAGACTTTTGCGATTTGAAGACTGGTTATTTTAAGTTTGAGCTCAAAACGTCCACAGTTTTCAGAAGATAATAAAAAAAAACTATCAAAACAGGCTAGTTATCAACTGAAGTTTGTCTGAAAAAAAAACACCCCAAGCAAAATTAATTGGTCGGAACAATAAAGGCATCGAGCAGAGAAAAAAAATGGACAACTACCGGACAACATTTAAACCTCAAGTGTGAAATTTTGAGTAGTACGAAATTAGTAGGACGATTAGCTTGCTTCAATTCAATTTGTCTGGAAGGATTATGAAGTGCGGGATAATTTGAATAAATAAATCGCGTTTCACCATTATAAATGTAAATGAAACCTTTTCAAACCCCCCCCCCCCATACCCCCCCCCCCCCCTCCCCCAAAGAATACAAAAATTAATCGAAGGTAAGAAAAATTTTACATTCGATATCTTCAATGAGTATAACAACAAATTTTGGTGAAGACTAATAATTCTACTGCTGAATTTCGACAACTTTCAAAATCTCTTCCTTCTTTTTAAACTCGCTTAGTTTTTTAGCTCGCTTAGAAAAAATATTAAATATGAAATATAATAGTGCAAAAATATAGTTAGTGCAAAAAACAAAAAATGTTTAGAAAACAACTCGGTTGATGAATTTCTAATAAAACTGAGAAAGTATGCCAGCAAACGGTTATCTGGCTGCTGAGCTAGTATCACAAAATGAATGTTTCAGCCACATTAATTTAAATGAAGCAATTACAAATTCAGCAAAAAAGAAAACAAATTGTCTTTTTTTAACATTTCAACCCTTCTTTATCGACGGTAAAGTTCAATTGGATACCCGCACTGAAGTTTCTCAGATATAAATAGATTATATTGAGAAAATGTTGCGGAAAATGTTGCCATTATAATCGATTATGTGTAACCAATTTAAGCAACATTTTCTAATATAATAGAAAAAAAAAAATAGAATATTTTCATGAAGATTATATTGCCTTATAATTCTACTAAAATGTTTTTTATCTCCACATAATCTCAACAAAATCTATTTTTTTCGCCCTGATATCGCAATAAAATCTATTGTATTCGCCATAAAACTTCCAAAAAATCGCAACAAAAACTATTGCTATCGCCACCATAAAATTGCAGTAAAATCTAGGACCCAAAACATCAATTATGTTGTTAAAAAAATGGATTTTATTGTCTGAAAAACTGACTTTTTCTCTTCTTAATTTCATTTTTGGAACTAAATTCGATTATTTTTGCAAAATATTGCAAATTTTGCGGGAATGCCTCAACGTCATCCCTTCGGCCCCTCAAGCTTTTTAACCCCCCCCCCCCCAAATGAAGGGGTACGGTAAAATGGTGGGGGTAGTGAACTGGGGGCTTAACTGAGGGTGGGGGGTGTTTAAACTGGGGGGGGGGGGGGGGGAGTTTGTGGTTTAAAAAAAAGTAAAATGAAGTGTTAAACTGCGATGAATTTAAAAAGAGAGACCAAAAAGTATAGAAATTTTGTTCTGAAATGTAAAATTTTATGAAACGTAATACGTAGCAACTGCACTAAACATTAAATAAGAAAACTTTCAATAATATGTAAGTTTCTTGAATAAACCCTCAAAAAAATCCATTATGATCGATTAAAATTGATTATAATGGATTATATTAACAAAAAAAAATTAGGATTATAATCCAGTTTTAATGGATTATAATCGATTATTTTGTCATTTTATTGCGGACCATATTATGACAATATAATCGATTATGATCCATGGGCGCTCGGTGCGTCAATCTATTATAATCTATTATAATTCCAATATAATCGACATAAAATTAAAGTTTTTTAATGGATTTTTTTCTCCATATAATCGAGTGTTCTACTCTGCGACCACAAAATCGCCAGATACTAGATAATAATCGGAGAAACTTCGGTACGGGTAAAAAACTGCAAGATTGAAATGTTAGCTAAAACAAAGTTAAACCGCTGTTGAATAAGACATGTAAATTATTCAGAAAAAACGGAACAAGTCGAAACAATACAACTTTTCTCGACGAAGAAACAGGCATCATTTTACAACATTTTTACAAAAGACTATTCGATAGAAGCCACAAATCGCAACAAGCGATGATTCGCAACAGATAAAATTTGGGCTGAAAACTAACTAACCAACGCCTTTTTTGACGGGAGTGGTAATTGGTATGAATTGGTATTTTTACCGCATAATCTACAAATTGCGTATTTATAAATTGAGAGATGCAAAACTTTGCCTGGATAAATGTTGCCAATCGTCGCTTGTTATGAGTTTTCCCCTCAACCTCACAGTACTCCATTCCTTTAAATCCCAATAAAATCGCAAAACAAGTCTTCATAAGGTAATGGCAATATTCGGGGTCCCGATACTAACATTTTGGTTATTATTATTTAAATCACGGCTATTAAGTATCCTCAAAAAGTTTGTAAAACCATTCATTAGCCTGACTTTTCTGCTGAGCGTTTAATAACTCAAATTCATATTGCTTTTTTTATCCTAAAAAGGGTAAATTGATGTAATAAAGCCACGCATAAGTTTGTCAAACGCTGAAAAATATTATAACGTGTAATAATCATTAATTGAAGATCCAAAAACTTTCGAAAATGGGAGAGCAGTTGTCAATAATTGGTGCTTGGGTACTTGCTTGTCAACAAATTGCTAAGAAGCAAAAATCCAAAGAAAAAAAATTTTAGTTCATTTTCAAAAGTTGACTCTCAAAAAAATGAAAGAAATTACCTGCAACACCCTGTAGTAGTAGCAGTATATCAAGTTGGGCGTCAAGTTGTTCATAACAAACTCCCTCCCTTTCTTCCCAATCTTCTGAGCTGTGACGTCATTATCTCTGGCCCAGTCGATCTTGTTCACGAGGTCGGAGAGGTTTGCGTGAAAGGGTATATAATGTGTCCACGGTATGAGTTGGCTGTAGAAATGCTCGTAGTAATTGGATTCGTGTTTGAAAACAACACTGTTTCCAGCCAACAAAATCGGGAGTCTAAACAGCGAAATTTTTAAACAAAAAATCCCGGTTTAAATCAATTAAAAAATATCTATCACAAATCGATTGTATGATTACGTCTCAGATGGCATAATTCCCAAATGACATAAAAATGAAAAATTTCCCAAATGGCATAAGTTTCATGCAACAGTTGCATTGAAAAAATCGAGATCAATTTGTTCGTGAACAATGTGAGAAAATTAGTCAAATTGTCAATTCAAATGTTGATTGACATTTTATCTTGAAAAAGTTGTAGAATTTTTTATTAAAAGCAAGAAGCATAAGCTTGCGGTTATTAATAAGCTTCTTGTGGTCATTTTTTTGACAAATTTGTTGCGTAAATTTGTTTAGAAACAATTAATTCGAAAATCTTGTGCACATGATTTCGTTACTGACAAAATGTTAGAATTAGAAATTGATAGAAAACGTTTAAATTACAATGAAAACTTGAAATTTATGCTATTTGGGAAAAGTTTTTATTTTTATGCCATTTGGGAGTTATGCCATTTGGGAAGTTACCGATTGTATCTACATTTTTAAGAGATACTATGTAAACAAAGACCATTTATTTCATATTTTTCAATTTTTTTCGGAGACAATCATGTTCGTTCACTAACACAATTATAGTCAATCGGCTCAAACTAGACTTCGTATTCCTGCGATTGTGTACCCCCACTCAGTAAAAAGAAAAAATAAGCGATTATATTATAACTACAATGGTACTTACAGCAAAATTATAATTAATTATAAACTCCAGTTTTAAGTGTTTAAAGGACTTAATATCCGTTATAATCCATGATAACATTTTTGGTGACATTTTAATAAATTATAATCAATTATAATTGATTATCATTTTTCCGAAAACTCTTACATTCTCTTATGATCTATTATATTCTAATAAAATAGATTATAATCCCTTTTTCTATCAAAATATTATTTCACAAGAAAAATCAATTACAATGGATTATAATTCAGCTATTCTGCATGAAAAAACAGTAAAAATCAGTAACAAGTAAGAAGCAATAAGCCAGAGGCGGATCTAGGACTTTCGAGAGGGGTTCTTCTAATCCCTAAAAAAGTTGACTAGATTAATTCCAAGCTCTCCCAAGGCATTTAAAAGACCCTGTTTTTGTCAAATTTATGCGCTGCAGGCAAAGTTTTGAGAAAGAAACGAGCCAAAAAAGGCGTTTTTAGGCACTTTTTGGAAACATTTGACCAAAAAATTGCTTTTTTTTCGGCGAGCACCTCCCTCAAAATTAATATATATTAGGAGCCTTTAAAAAATTTAGGGTCAGTAAGCCAAAAGGATATCTCAAAACGGTGGAGGGGACCTCAAAATAATGGGGTGGAAATAGGGAGACCTTTTGGGTCGGTAGGGGGTCGAATCCCTTCCTAAATCAGCTGGTGGCTATAAGTAAAAAAGTACAGTTTCTTTTAATTCGGTAACCAATAGAAAGGCACACGTAAAAAAAACTAAATTAAAACGAAACGAAGCGATGACGTTTGTTGAATAATAATAGAATATAATCCATTATAAGGTATTATAATTCAATAAAATTTGAGAAACAAAAATTTCATAAAATAATCGATTATATTTGATTATAATCGATTTTTAATGATTTTTTGTTTCGAAAAATAATAACATTATGAGCCATTTTTAATCGATTATTATCAACTCTTTTGGGAACTTATGGACACTGACAATAAAAATCCATTAGAATCTATCAGTTTCTCTTTTTACTGAGTGCGGGTAGGGTATGTTACTGACCTTCGAATAATCAACTGCCGAACAATTTGAACTGTGAAAAACGTTTCTGTGAAAAGTTGACACAAAGAAGTTTCATGAAAAGCAACGCTTCCGTGCTCTTCAATTTTTGCAAATAATTGTTCGAAATTTTATATGAATTTAGGTTTCTCTAGACCTTTTGTGGACTTTTCGAGTAAATTTTCTATTCGAGCTATTTATATGCAGAGATTATATGATTTTATAGCCACAAAATAAGCCAAGAAGAACCATAAGAACCTGTTTCTAGAACCAAAACTTTCCTGTTGTCATATATAAGGCTATCGAATATGGTTCATTTTTTTTCTAAGGATATCTACGTGGTTTGTAATGTTTAATTGATTGTTAATACAAAATGTTTTTTTAACTACCTTGTTCACCTGCTTATGTTCTACTATACGCTATACGGTAAAACTGCAAAAAACGGCTAAAAAAACCTTTCAACTAAACGAAAATTGATGTTGCCCGAAAAGTTTATATGAAGGTTGAAACCGTTGAGTAAGAAGAAATCAACCAATTACGCAATCATTTGTTAATAGTGTAACAAGGACAGTCTTTCAGGAGAAGAGCCCTGAAGAACTCCTGTACGCTAATTTTTGTTGACCGGAAAGATTGTTGTCGACATTTTTAAACATATTATTGTCAATTTGAAAAACAATTTGTTTTGAAATCATTAAATTTTTTTTTCCTGAAAATATAAGCGTTCATTTGATCTTGAGTAAAAGAAAGAATATCCGCAATACGTTTGCTCTGTATTTTATACAAAGAGACATTCCTTTGCATTTTTGCTTTTTTTCTTTGAAATCCCGTACTGAACTTTTTGTGCCATTTCACGGCTGATCATCCATTTAGAAGGGGAGAGAATATTCTCAGGACTGTTCCCCCATTATGTAGGGCTGTTCACAAGTGAGCATACGTATTTTTCTGCAGACCTGGTCGTACCTGGATCTTACAAGATCAGACCTGAGTGAGACATGTTTATACCTGTCGCAGACATGTTCATGCCTGCCGCAGACATGATAACGCCTGACTGAAAACTTGACAAATTCAGACTTGATTACGTCATCTCAGATCAAGCATATATTTCTCTTATTTATTTATACATTACTCGTGTCCCATATTTGTACTTCGTATCTTGACTAATCGGTCTTTGATGTCAAAAATTATCACTTTTTCAGATTTTGTTCGAAATGACCTTATCCAAATTTGTAGCCATTTGTAGCTGTACCTTGCTAAGTCAAATTACTTTGATTACTGTTCCTTTTTCCGTAGCGAAAGTAACGGAATATTTGTGCTCGGTGTGGGGTTTTTTCTTCAGACAAATTTCGACTTTTTAACTAGCCATTTTTGACAAAATTTTATCAGATCATTCGAAAGCTTTTACGTTTTATGTTGACAGGAAACAGAGAAAACTATCCACAATCCCCGCTATCAACGACTCCCTGCTTGCCATTACAGAAAGGGGCATCTACCCACTACAGTAAATTTTTAACCAAAAATTTCATCGATGTCAGAAAATATCTAAAAAAAAACAAAAATTTGATGTAAAGTTTCACATTATTAAGCTGAGTTTATGATGTTGTTGGAATTAAACCATTTCTTGAAATATCTTATGATACTGAAGATACCGATTTGAAGCCATTTTTTTTCTATTTTTTTATTCTGTTTATTAAAAAAAGAGTGTAGCAAAAACTACCAGTTCAGGCGTTTATGCAGGTGTGAGCATGTTCCGATCAGGTTTGGTCATGTATCCTGCAGGTGTGGGCATGTTCAGCTCAGGTATGACAATGTATCCTGCAGGTGTGAGCATATTCAGTTCAGGCATGATCAAATATCCTGCAGGTGTGAGCATTTTCGGTTTAGGCATGATCATGTATCCTGCAGATGTGAGCATGTTTAGTTCAAGTATGATCATGTATCCTGCAGGTGTGAGCATGTTCAGTTCAGGCATGATCATGCATGCTGCAGGTGTGAGCATATCTTCAGTTAGCACACCTGATGCAGGTCTGATGCAAGTATGTGCATGCCGAATAAAGACAAGCTGCACATCTGTTACAGACATGAATTTTGTACAATTTTACAATTATCAGATATGATTTTGGCCAAAAAGTTCGGTACGGGATTATGCTTAGCTTATCCGTTTTTTTTTCATAAATTGACTTCAACAATCGTTAACTATATAATCACTGAGAAATTAGGACTTCAATCCAGTGAAGTTTCCAAAGTAAGAAAAAAGTTGCTAATTGCGAAATTTAAAAAAAAAGTAGTTTTTGTAATTTGTTTGCAACCAGCTATTTGACGATGTGAATGACGAGAGGACCAACCAGTGTTCAAATGCTTGATTTTCAGTTCCGAATTAATATTAAAAGAAAATTTAATATATAACCCCATTAAAACAGTGAATTCGTTACAAGGTACAACAATAAGCACCAAATAAAAATCACAGAGATCCGTTTTAAAATGGATAATACTGGTAATGAGACTTTTGAGAAGCAAAAAAATTAAATTGAGTCAAAAGACCACTAATGAAAAATTGAACCTGTAAGCCGCAACGGTTCCGTCCATATTAATCTGATACTTGAAGTCATGAAATTTATTCATGCTCACTCGTTCCACTTTGCCCAGCTCCTCCTCCTCCCCCGCGCGGCGGAAAAAGAAATAGTTTGTAAGGCCGGCATCCAACTTGTCTGGATATCTCTTCGCGAGACGAACTAGTTCAAGTCTTTCTTTTCGACTGTCTCTGCCTCGAAAGAATCCTTTTTCTATTTTTTGCTCCCATTCAGTCAAACTTGACGCAGCAGTCGTTTGCACGTCAACAGACTCTCTGAATTTCAAAACAAAATTGTGAGATAATTGTAATTTATTATGAAAAGAGATTCATTTCACTAATTTAAACTGCTTTAAATTTTTGAAACTTATAATTTATGGCTGGGAAAAAAATTAAGTTTTGCTGCAGCCGAAACCTGGAAAAGTTTTATGAGTTGACTAGGGATTTTGCAGTTTTCAAGATCTTCATCGAATTTCAATTGATGGTTTTGTGTAGCTTTGACAAAATGCAGTATTTGTATAAAGTGCAGTATTTGACCTGAATATCTCAGCTTATTTGAAAAAAAAATGATGGTTCGAGTCTTGACCTGAACTTTGCTCGTTGTTTCTGATAGTCACGCTACATTTTTTAATTTTTTTTGAGGGGGGGAGGGGAAGGGAGACTTTATAAACCAAATAATTCGTACAAAACATATTTTAGAGATCTCTCAATCGCTTTCAGGAAGACATAAGACATACTCACTGAAGTAATGACGAGTATGTCTTCTTAGTCAAGTCCCAAGTGGGTACACTGATGTCTCGAGTGTCCTTTGATCCTCCCCAAGTGAGAATAGCCAGTGGTGACTCATCCACTTTCCGCTTTTCACCAGGCCAATCGCCCAGGTTCATCACAAACTCAGTGTCCTCAAGTTTGACCTTGAAAATTTGACCAAACATTTTTATCTTGGTCATAAAACAACAAATTTGCGAGAGCAAGTGAATGTCCCCTCTCAAGCTAGGGGTGGGGAGGTAAAGATTGTTCTAAGTTGGAACTTTTAGCCAATCAGAATCGATCCTTTTACATGCAGCACTTGGTCTATCTGGGGGGAGGATGTCTAGTTGATCCGTTTCGTGCAACAAAATAGCAGTCTAAAATAACAGCCCAAATATGGAACAGAAAATTCTCAAAAAAGCCTCGCAACACTTAATCAGAAACGGAGTTATAACTGGAACCAAAAAAAAAAACGATGAAGTTGAGAAGTTTAAATTAACGTTTTAGGAGATGAGTTCAGGGTTTAAAAATGTTCCAAACTCATTGACCAGCGTGCATGTAAAACCATGATCTGGGCTTTTAAGTTATTCTACCCAAAATTTGTAACTTTGCGAAGCCATTCTATAAAGCAGAGAACAAATCACAGATCGCACACGATTGGTCAAAACCAATGCGCTAATTTTTTTGTTACATGATTTCTAACAAAGCCCAACTTGAATCAGATGTGAAGCCGGTCATTTATTCCTCCTGGAGCGTTTTCTGTTTTTTTTGTGGGTTTGGGCAAACAAAATGACGCACCTTATTGGAAAGGAACTCGATTTTTCTCACGAAACAGTCTACGCGAGTTGGTCATTTTGGCTAACTTGTAAATCTAGGTTAAGTTGCGAATATAATATTTCGAGCTGGCGCTGTAATCTGGTTGGCTAACACTAGCCAATCAAATGCAAACAAAAAATTAGGATCAAATTAGTTTAAAGTGAGGAATAAAAAAGAACCCGTCTTTTCAACATCTATAAAGTAACACAGAAATAGTTTGCGCTCACCTTGCGTAGAAGAGAAAGGAAAATTTCGTCGCTGAATTTCTTGAAATCTCCGTGTTTTCCATACTGACGCCGGTACAGCTGAAAAGAGACGAATTGAGGCGCTCGAATATATATTGATCATGTTGGTGGACCTAATGTTCGCTTTATAACAGATCGGCCAAAAATTTAACGAAAAATCTTGCTACAAAACTTGGGTCTTATTCACTGAAGGGACGAAGGGGTCTAAAAATAATATCCTCCCATCCATACCCATGGGAAGAGGATGTCAACGTGGTTCTAAGTCGGAATTTTCACTTCATCAGTATCAAGCATTTTGTAAGCAGAGCTTAGCAATATTAGTTAGAATTAATTGCTGGGGTGGAAGATTTTAACTTGGTCCATCTGGGGGGGGGGGGGGGGGGATTTTAACTCCTAAGTTCCGTTAAAAAGCGATAAAATGAAACTTGGTCCACCCACATTATCGTTAAATAGTTGAATCATCGCGGCCAGGAGTTTTAAACAATGTTTTAGCAGCTGAAAACATTAGCCAAAATTGACGACAATGTAGAGCTTTGTCAAATAATGAACTTGATTTCAAATCACTTGTGAAACTTTATCCAGACAATAAAAATTTCAGTAAAAAAATTCAACTGAGCAAAAGTTTTTTTACGATCATTTTAGCTAGTAGTTTTAATCCGTGAGGCGACAGTTCGTTGCAAGCGACGATTGGTCGCAAGCGACTATTCGCTGAATTTTTAAAGGCAACCATTCGCACCAAGCGTCAATTAGCATCAATTAGCAGCACAAGCGTCAATTAGCATCAATTAGCAGCACAAGCGTCCAAGCGTCAATTAGCAGCACAAATAACTGCCAATTGGGGGATTGGATCAAGAAACGATGCGAACTGAGCAAACTATTTTGCGCTGGTTGTGGGGAGGTTAAAATTGCGCTGGTTGTGGGCAATTGCGCTGGTTGAGGAGCGAGCGATAAAAAATTTCAATTTAGCACCTTTTTTAAATTAAATATCAAGTTGAAATGAATTAACAGTAGAGATTGGAATAATTTAATGTTACAATGATCAAAAAGAGTTAAAAACACTTTGGTTTTGTTTCATTATAAATCAATATGCTTTACAATTTGTCATGTGCGAGCGAGGAAAACAGCAGCTTGTCCACGACGGAGAACTATGATTCTAAACCGCCACAACAAAATAACCGATAAATCCAGCTGGCGATGTGCGAAGAGACTATCCAAAATCTGTTCCCATCATTGCAGATAAAATGGTCAAAAAGTATTCCATGCGGCCCAGAACTAAAACAGTGAGTAAAATGTTCAAAAATTTTGCAACGTGCGCGAACTTAAATTTTACAAAATAAGACCTTTTTTGCTTTAAAAACATTCAATTAGCATGACCGCAAGGCAAAGGTTTTTTTGAGGGAAAACTGACCTCACCCAGTGAAAAAAACATAACCCCTTAAACAAGCTAATTTCTTAAAGACTGGGGGAAAGGAAAAACATCATTGGAGCCTCTCAGGATCATGTACGTGGCAAACACTGGGAGTATCAGCCTGGATACGGTTTTTAACTTACCTAAGTACAAGTCACTCGCCAGAACTCTTCAGCGACAACGAGCAACTGATTCCGCTTTGCACTCAAATAAAGACATTGCCGTGCCTTACGAATTGAGCAAGAGTGTGATGGAGATAAATTCCTCCTTTTTGATTCAGGGTCGGATGACAAAGACCGGTTGTTAGTATTTACCACTGACGAGAGCTTAAAAACTTCTGAAATTAACAGAGTCTGTCATGGAGATGGGAACTTTAAAGCTTTCGTAAACTTTCACAAATCATGCTTTATTTAACAACTAAACTGTTCCATTAGATTTCTTTGTTCTTCAAAACAAAGTGAAGATCAATACATTCGAGCCTTCAGACAGTTGAAAGAAATGAACCCAGGACTTGAGCCCTGGCAGACTGTGGTAGATATTCGGAAGGCTTTAACTAACACTTTTCAGAAGGTTTTCGACCGTTTGAATGTAAAAAGATGCTTTTTTCATTTCGCACTGACCATTTGGCGCAAAATATGAGAGATTAGACGAGCACCAGTGCATCGAGAAGATAAAAACACACACATGCTTTTAAGGTCATTCCTTGCTTTTGCTTGACTTTGAAATCGGCCTGACTTCTGTGTGGTCTGAAATTTCCGACCAAAGTGACGAGTCCCCCTACATTGATTACGTCGATTACTTTGTATCAACTTGGGTTGGAGCTATCCTCCGAGGACGCAGAGGGGTAGAGCAATTCCCTATTTCACTCTGGAACCAGTTCGAAAACGCAAAAATTGGAAAACAGAAAACCAGCAACTCAGTCGAGGGATGGCATATGGGGGTGGGGTGTGCTCATCCCAGATGGGGATGGGGTGTGCTCACCGCACCATTCACAATTTTATCCAATTCCTGAGAAAAGAACAAAGTTTGTGGGAGAACAAATAGGCAAGAACAATTGCCGGAGAAAGTACCGGCAAGGTGGTCAAGCCAGATTAGTTGAACTCTTTAGGCATTATAGTTACAATATTATTCTCTAGCAACTTGAAGGCCTCTCATTCAATTTTGATTCTTGCTTCTGTGTTCATTAATTTCTGTATTCCTTAGTTTTTGTGTTCTTTAATTTCACCCTTTCATCTAATATCTTTTGATCTGATCAAAGTTTTTACCGCTACTAATTGTCGCTTCCTACGAGTCGTCGTGTGCTGCGAATAGCCGCTTTTACAAACACGCTACTAATGGTCGCTTGCAACGAATCATCGAATGCGAAGAACTATCGTCATGCCGTTTTAATCTATTCGAAGTTTTCATTGAAATTCTAAACCATGTTGTTTGAACTTGATTGGCTTATTAGCCATCCAAGATTCAATCAAAAAAATTTGTGTTCAAGAAGTAGAATTACTGATTTTGGTTCGTTTAGTGCTGAAGACCACAAACATCGACTAGGTTCATACATGTCCGCACTCGAGTTTCATGAGAACTAATTAAATTTTGGTCCAAATATCCATTATAATGCAATACAATTAAAATTTTAGATCCTGAAATAGATTAAACGTACAAAAGATGTGTGGGAGTAGAAGAAAGGAGCGGTGGTTCGGGCTTTTATGCTGGGGCGGAGTCTCAAAAACAAAAAGCACACTAAATTTTAGCATCTGGCTGAGAAAAATTGTTGTTTTTTTATCTCAAAAATTAACCCTTTCATCGCAAAAATAAACCAGTACATTTTTTTCAAACACTAATACTATTTAACCATTTTCAAGATGAGGCGAAAAATCCACGCGTGATAAACCGTTCAAAAACCGCTCAAACCGCTCATTTTGAAGCAAGATTTTGATTGTCTTAAAATCTTGCTTCAAAATTGAAGCGTAATTGTCTTAAAAAAACCGCTCAAACCGCTCAAATCTTGCTTCAAATTAGGTGAAAAATCTCAACTCGGGCGTGCAAAAGGACCAGCATACGACCTCTGACACTTTACAGAGAATCTCTGTCGGTCAACTGGTCAAAAATTACATTCAATTTTTTGTGTTGTTTTTCTGGGTTGGGTCTTTTCTGTGATGCGGCACAAACTGACCAAAACAATGATTAAGCTAATACGCTTGGATTTCAGATTTCAGCAAGAGTTTCACACTTCTTTTGCATTTGGTAAATTCATCCAATCAAATATCAAAATTTTAAAATAGCAAAAAGATGAGCTTTGGGTCGTATAACAGAAAAACAAAACTACATTGATTCACCCTCATGTAACAAGCACGGATTTTGGTGTGGCTAAAATCTCCGAGTTTTCGCACGAGAGGCGGATAGTTAACCACTGCACAACACTTCCATCGTCCAGAATCTTTTGTGTTTTTTATAGCGATGGTTTTGAAACAAGAAGTAGATTAGAGCTATCACAGCATGGCAACTGCATGACGGATCGAGTCAGTTGCGATTGACCAAAATAAGACAAAAAGATCTCCCTGTCAAATTTTCTCCAAGATTTGCTGAGCCCGCCCTCCCCTCTTAGAATGAACAAAGGAAAATCTTCCACCCCAGCATTTAACTCGAATTAAATTTGCTGAGCGCTGCATCTAAAATGCTTGATTCTGATTGTTGCTGACTGGCTGAAAACTCCAAATTAGAACCTAGTTAACAGTTAACATCCATCCCTAACCCTTTGGTTAGGAAAATGATAATCTGGTTTTAATCGACAAATTTATTGCTAACCTGGTTGTCTTTTACTGTATAGTGAATCATAGAGTGGCTTCGATTGAACCTCTCAGGAACTTCATGTGCCAATCGACTAATATTGATGACCGGAAATGTCTGGAAGTCCAGTTGGATTTGGCCAAAGTAGTCGCCAGGTGGACACTCTATGGCCTCTGTCCATACATTTGGGTCATTATGAGGACATGGGCACTCTTCGGCTAAGAGACCATCTTAAAAATATATATAATTCAATTTCATTATTTTAAGGCAAGAAACTTTTCCAAAAAATGACCAAGTTTTTCCAAAAAAAAAAATTACGTTTTTGGTATAAAATTCCTTGTAAAATTGTTAAAAGTATCTTAAATGGCTACAATTACCAAATGCAGTTTATCTGCGTGGTAACTGCGAGTTACACTCTGGGTTTTCTTATGACAAAAAATCCGTGTTTATTGTTTCGGATGAAGCACAAAATTTCAAAACAAAATTTTTGTATTTTCTTTTGTGGAAAAAATGCTTTTGATACAATTTCACAAATTGTATCATATGCTTAGTAGGACCATTTTAAAATGGTTAGTAGGACCATTTTAAGAAAAAGTACAGTTAAAAATCCAAACTCGACCAAATTATAAAATTGATTATCAAAATCTCTCGAAAATATTGTTTGTCCCTTATTTACATGCAAGCTATTGTTACGGTGTCCTTTAATTTAATACCAGCCAATTTAACACTACAATTTAACACCTAGTCATTTTACTACTAAACAATTTTAATCAACAACAATTTAACTCCTATTTCCCAGTTTGACAACGTACGTTTTAACATCTAGTCATTTCACTACTAAAGTGAATGCTATATGATTTCTTTGTCTTAAATCTTATCACTCCAAAATTGATCCTGCAATTAACGAAAGCATCATATTAAAAAACTTGGTATTTCTTAGTTATAGAATTAAGTTCAAAAAATGATTGATTTTTTGATTTTTGGTATTGATTGAATCATTTTTTAAATTTCCATCCCGGCTGAAAATGTCTGGAAAGTTCTGCCATTTTAGACCAAGGCCGTCTAATTATTTGCGGGCATTTGAAAATCATTGAACTACTGCTTGTTGTTCCAACTTTCAAAGAAAATGGAATATTTATGCTCGGTGTGGTTTTTTTAATCAGTCAGTATTCGGCGATCGAAATAACAATTTTTAACAAAAAAAACTAAATCCCGTTGAAGACATCGACTCCCTGAATTCTAATGTAAACAGATATTTTGTTTCAGATCAGTTTTTTGCAAATTTCTGGGAGTTTATGTTTTGCCAATTTGGCCATACTCTGGACTAATTTATGTGCGATTCGAACATTTCATTCATAATGTTGAAAGCGTCATGCGAATTTTTTATGCGTGGCGAAATATCCCGCTAACAAAATCGTTCCAATTGATTTGAAGCTATAGCTAATCGATCGCATAAGTTTCGTACGACTCAAATTTTTACACTTGATATGTGATGTTATCCAAAATTTATAGATTATCGAATAGTTTTTGGGAAAAGAAAATACTGAGAATCTATAAATTTTCGACAACATCAAATATCAAGTGTGAAAGATTGAGCCGTACGAAACTAATACGATCGATTAGCTATAACCTCAATTCGATTGGAACGATTATATCATGCGGGATAATTTGCCACGCGTAAATAATTTGCGTTACGTTTTCAACATTGTGAATCAAATGTTCGAATCGCACATAAATTAGTCCAGAGTATGGCCGAATTGGCAATTTACAAACTCCTAGAAATTTGCAAAAACTAAGATTGCCCGTATATCAGGGCTAATGCCTCTGACCATGCCCCTGAATCTCTATCGAATAGTTTTTGGGAAAAGAAAACACTGAAAGAGATTAAGGGACATGGTCAGGGGCATTTGCCCTGATATACGAGCAGTCTTATTTTTGGTTCTCTTTGGAACGATTCATTGAAATTATTGGCAAAGTCATTTCTGTTCAAAACAATTTGGATGAAAACGGTTTTAAGTTATAAAAATGGTTTTAAAATGTAGCGATGTCGTGCAAACCTGGATACACATGTGTGAACACTTCAGATCCATTCAGTGCGACAACTAGGTTGACCCCATAAGGTGATGATGCGTACATTTTCCATCTAATGATGTAAGATCCGTCCTGATAATCCAGTACTTCTGATCTGTATCTAGGTCTATTGATTCTAGACTGCGTACTATCTGGATTTGCACGGAGCGAATTGTGAAGGGAAAATGTGACTGTGCCGACTGACGAAATAATTCTGGAACAGAAACTGCTCAAAAACAATTGTAACAAAAACTAATGTGAATCAGAGACCACCTAACACCATATCGGTTCGTGTCCTGAGAGCTATACCGTGCTGATTTAAATTAACCGGACAAAACGCGTTAAACTTAAAATTTAAAACGCGTTTGCCTCAAATTGGGATGAGTTTAGGTGAAAACTTATGAAGATAAAACTAGTTCAAAATTTTAGCCGAATTAATACGGTGTAATCTGTTTTGCGGAATTCGGGCCCAAAAATTTACCACAAAAATTGGTCTTTTTGGCTTTTCTTAGTTAATCTAAAATTACGCCGATTATACCCAGTCGATCACAGACACAATTAATTCAAAGTGAGCCCCTTACGTAGCCCAACAAACTTTAAATAGGGTAGATTCTCCAAACCATTGTATAAATTGATTTATTATGTTTGATAGACAAAAAAAGGTCGTTTTTACTATATAAAATACCAGCTTTTTATTTAAAAACAATTTTTAATCGGTTGCAATTTTTTTTGGAGAATATACCCTTCCTAAAGTTTGTTGGGCTAAAAAAGAAGCTCACTTTGATATAATTATAACTGTGATCGACTCGGTACGTTTGGTAATTTACACCGCATTAATTCTGCTCACATTTTAAGCTAGTTTTAATTTGATAAGTTTTCAACTAAACTCAACCCAATTTGAGGAAAACGCGTTTTAAATTCCAAATTTAGCTTGTTTTGTCCAGTTAATTTAAATCAGCACTGTATTATAATTGCAACCCATTTTAAAATGGATCAAAGACCACCTAACACCATCTCAGTTCATGTCCTGAGAGCTATATAATAAGTGTAAGAAAAATTAATATGAATCAAAAATCATCTAACACCATATCGGTTCATGTCCTGAAGGCTATATAATTAGTTTAACACAAATTAACATGAATCAAAGACCACCCAACACCATATCGGTTCAGGTCCTGAGAGCTATATAATAAGTGTAATACATAATAATATGAATCAGAGACCACGTAACACCATTCGGTTTATGTCCTGAGAGCTATACAATACGTGTAACACAATTTAATTTGAATCAAAGACCACCCACCACCATATCGGTTTATGTCCTGAGAGCTATAATATTAGTGTAACATAAATTATTACGAATCACAGACCATTAACACTTTATCGGTGCAGGTCCTGAGAACTATATATTAAGTGTAATACAAATTAATATGAGTCAAAGACCACCTAACACCATATCGGTTCATATCCTGAGAGCTATGCAATACGTGTAGCATTATTTAATATGAAACACAGACCACCTAACACCATATTGGTTCACGTCCTGAGAGCTACATAATAAGTGTAAAACGAATCAATATGAATCAAAGACCATCTAACAACATATCGGTTTATGTCCTGAGAGCTATATAATTAGTCTAACACACATTAATTTGAATCATAGACCACCTTACACCATATCGGTTCATGTCCTGAGTGCTACATAATTAGTGTAACACAAATTAATATGAATCAAAGACCATCTAAAACCATATCAGTTCATGTGCTAAGAGCTATATAAAAAGTGTAAGAATAATAATATGAATCAAAGACTAATATCGCTTCATGTCCTGCTAGCTATATAAAAAGTGTAAGACAAATTAATATGAATCAAAACCATCTAACACCTTATCGGTTCATGTCCTGAAGGCTATATAATTAGTTTAACACAAATTAACTTGAATCAAAGACCACCCAACACCATATCGGTTCAGGTCCTGAGAGCTATATAATAAGTGTAATACATAATAATATGAATCAGAGACCACCTAACACCATATCGGTTCATATCCTGAGAGCTATGCAATACGTGTAGCACAATTTAATATGAATCAAAGACCACCTAACACCATATCAGTTCATGTGCTGAGAGCTATATAAAAAGTGTAAGAATAATAATATGAATCAAATACTAACTAACGCTATATCGCTTCATGTCCTGCTAGCTATATAATAAGTGTAAGACAAATTAATATGAATCAGAACCATCTAACACCATATCGGTTCATGTCCTGAAGGCTATATAATTAGTTTAACACAAATTAACTTGAATCAAAGACCACCCAACACCATATCGGTTCAGGTCCTGAGAGCTATATAATAAGTGTAATACATAATAATATGAATCAGAGACCACCTAACACCATTCGGTTCATGTCCTGAGAGCTATAAAATACGTGTAACACAATTTAATTTGAATCAAAGACCACCCAACACCATATCGGTTCATGTCTTGAGAGCTATAATATTAGTGTAACATAAATTATTACGAATCACAGACCATTAACACTATATCGGTGCAGGTCCTGAGAGCTATATATTAAGTGTAATACAAAGTAATATGAGTCAAAGACCATCTAACACCATATCGGTTCATGACCTGAGAGCTGTATAAAAAGTGTAACACATATTAAGATGAATCAAAGACCACCTAACACCATATCGGTTCATGTCCTGAGAACTATATAATAAAAGTAACACAATTTAATATGAATCACAGACCACCTAACATCATATCGGTTCCTGTCCTGAGGTAAATTCAAATGCATTTGGTAATTTCATCCAATCAGAATAAAGCATTATTATCAAAATTTTAAAACAGAAAAAAGATGAACTTTGGGTCGTATAACAGAAAAAAAATGAAAACCGAAAACATTGACAGAAAACATTGGTTCACCCTAAAGCATCAAGCACGGATTTTAGTGTGGCTAAAATTTCCGAACTTTGGCTCGAGAGGCGGATAGTTAACCTCTGCACAACACTTCCATCGTCCAGAATCTTTTGTATTTTTTCATAGCGATACTTTTGAAACAAGAAGTAAATTAGAGCTATCACAGCATGGCAACTGCATGACGGATCGAGTCAGTTGCGATTGACCAAAATGAGACAGACAGATCTCCCTGTCAATTTTTCTCCAAGAATTGCTGAGCCCGCCCTCCCCCTCTTAGAATGACCAAAGCAAAATCTTCCACGCCAGCATTTAACTCGAATTAAATTTGCTAAGCACTGCATCTAAAAGGCTTGATTCTGATCGTTGCAGACTGGCTGAAAACTCCAAATTAGAACCTAGTTAACATCCATCCCCAACCCTCGCACCATTGGAGGGGGGGGGGGGGGAGGAATTGAGGGTTGGGAAAAAGATAATCTGGTTTTAATCGACAAATTAATTGCTAAACTGGTTGTCTTTTACTGTATAGTGAATCATAGAGGGCTTCGATTGAACCTCTCAGGAACTTCATGTGCCAATCGACTAATATTGATGACCGGAAATGTCTGGAAGTCCAGTTGGATTTGGCCAAAGTAGTCGCCAGGTGGACACTCTATGGCCTCTGTCCATACATTTGGGTCATTATGAGGACATGGGCACTCTTCGGCTAAGAGACCATCTTAAAAATATATATAATTCAATTTCATTATTTTAAGGCAAGAAACTTTTCCAAAAAATGACAAAGTTTTTCCAAAAAAAAAGAAAATTACGTTTTTGGTATATAATTCCTTGTGATATTGTTAAAATTATCTTAAATGGCTACAATACCGAATGCAGTTTATCTGCGTGGTAACTGCGAGTTACACTCTGGGTTTTCTTATGACAAAAAAATCCGTGGTTAGTGTTTCGGATGAAGCACAAAATTTCAAACAAATTTTTTTGTATTTTCATTTGTTGAAAAAATGCTGATGATACACATGTGTGAACACTTTAGATCCATTCAGTGCGACAACTAGGCTGACCCCATAGGGTGATGATGCGTACTTTCTCCATCTAATGATGTAAGATCCGTCGTGATAATCCAGTACTTCTGATCTGTATCTGGGTCTATTGATTCTAGACTGCGTACTATCTGTATTTGCACGGGGCGAATTGTGCAGGTAAAAGGTTTACTGTGCCGACTGAGGAGTTAATTCTGGAACAGAAACTGCTCAAAACAATTGTAACAAAACGAATGTGAATCAGAGACCACCTAACACCATATCGGTTCATGACCTGAGAGCTATACCGTGCTGATTCAAATTAACCGGACAAAAAGCGTTAAACTTGAGATTTAAAACGCGTTTGCCTCAAATTGGGATGAGTTAAGGTGAAAATTTATGAAGATAAAACTAGCTTAAACTTTTAGCAGAATTAATATGGTAAAATTTGTTTTGCGAAATTCGAGCCCAAAATTTTACCACAAAAATGGGTCATTTTGGCTTTTCTTAGTTAATCTAAAATTACGCCGATTATACCCAGTCGATCACAGACACAATTAATTCAAAGTGAGCCCCTTACGTAGCCCAACAAACTTTAAGCAGGATGTATTCTCCAAAACAATGTTTACAGGATTTAGGTTTGTTTGATAGACAAAAAATGTAGTTTTTACTATAGAAAATATCAGCTTTTTCATTTAAAAACAATTTTTAAACGGTTCAAATTTTTTTTGGACAATATAACCTTCTTAAAGTGTGTTGGGCTACATAAGGGACTCACTTTGATATAATTATATCTGTGATCGACTTGGTGTTTTTGGCGTAATTTTTGATTAACTAAAAAAAGCCGAAACGACAAATTTTTATGGTAAACTTTGAGCTCGAATTTTGCAAAACAACTTACACCGCACTTATTTTGCTAAAAATTTAACCTATTATTATCTCCATAAGTTTTCACCTAAACTCAACCCAATTTGAGGAAAACGAGTTTTAATTTTCAATTTAGCTTGTTTTGTCCGATTAATTTAAATCAGCACTGTATAATAAGTGTAACACAGTTTAGAATGGCTCAAAGACCACCTAACACCCTAACGGTTGATGTCCTGAGGGCTAAATAATAAGCGTAACACAATTTAAATGAGTCAAAGACCATCAAACACCATATCGGTTCATGTCTTGAGAGCTATATAATAAGTGTAACACAAATTAATAAGAATCGAAAACCACCTAACACCATACCGTTTCATGTCCTGAGAGCTATATAATAA